CACATCCTTCACATTTTTAATTCTCAGAGCCAGATTTTTCAGAATTGCTTTGCTAAAATAATTTGCAGATATCCAGATAAGCAGCTCAGATTTTCAAAGCACTGAGAGTTCACTGCAGCTTTCAGCTAGAACTGCAGACAACTGGTATTCTTGAAAGCTTCATCATCATGTTTTGCCTTGCAGATACTAAGCCAAACATTTTTTCGGGAAGTCTTTTGTACAATGTCTCCTGAAAACAAACAGCAAAGAAAATCACTGAAATTGGTCCTGTCTAAAGATGAAGACACTAAACTSCCAGAAATCTCAGGCACATATTACCCATTGTAAAGATAGATATTCTATGCAAATCTAAATTTAGCTAAAATTATGGACATAAAAATAAAGTGTTCCCCAAATAGAAGAGGACAACAGGTTTAGAGTAGTTTCCGAGGGAACAGGTACCCTATTATTGGTYATTTACATATGCGTTCAAACAGGTACCCTATTATAGGTCATTTGCATATGTGTTCAATATACATATGAATGCATTGTGACCATTTGCACAAATCATTGTGACTTTTTGCAAAAATACTAATCCAAYCAGGAATACACAGAAGGCCAATTCAGCCTGTAAGAGCTCTTTGCTGTGTTCTTGCAAAAAAACGGACGGACGGAAAGCTTTTTCCTAGCTTCTCTATTTCTTCTTTAACTTTCATTCTTGTTTATTTGTGGAAGGAAAGTTGTTCTAGAATTACAGGTGTTGAGTAATGCGAAAGAAAATCTATTCTAATTGAATCATAAACATCATGCTKGTCCCATTCACTAGAAATGAAATCAAGGCCTTAGCAGCAAGTCACTCTGGATTTGGAGTACATAAAAGAATAAACAATCAATGAGATCTAATTTTTAATGTTGAATTTGAAAAATAAGCTAAGGTGCCTCAGAACTACAGCCCTAAATTGACTATAATCAGACAGAGAGAGAAAAAAAATTAAACAATTTACAGTATGCATTACCAGCCTTAAAAAGTGGTCTAAYATTTGAACAAAATTTAGATGTGATAACTTCTGTTCATGTAGTACTGCATGCATTTTAAAGTGCATGCATGTGTTTTAAAGTGTGAACATGTAACAAGCTCCTAAGCCTCTGTCAATAAGGCAGCCTTACAAATAAGTATGTTAATCTTCAGCTAATATATAGCTTTATGCAAATTATTGAGGCCAGTAGGGCTACTGAGCATCTGGTCTCAGAAAAGAGCAAGACATGCGCAGGCGAGTAGGAAGAATAAGAGCAAATTTTGACATTAAGGTGAGGAACTAGATGAACCAGATAAGAGCCCTTCAGGACCCTACAGGCTGCATTACTAAAATGCAGCTTCCACAACTGTTGATATATTGAATTTTGACAAGGCAAGTGATTTCTGCATGTCACAGCAATCACGTCTTCAGTGAATACTTTGACGTTTGCTTGCATTTTAATATTGTAAATACCATCCGCACCAAAACATCAAAAAAGAAAATAGAGAGAGGATAAAAAAAAAAAAAAGTGGAAGTGGAAAAGTCATGTGTCAAGTGAAGACAGATCTCCTCCTGGGAAGACATGCACCACTTCACTTATCATATACAAAAAATAAAATAAAATCACTCTTTGCAAGCATTGGCAAGAACAGACATATTGCATATCAAGATCACAAGGAAGAGGTCTCTGTCACTTGCCCAGATTAAATTTTCACACAGGTATTGGCACTATTGTAGTGCAATATGAATGGGCTGATAGTTATTCAGCTCAACACAATTGCACCAATACCTTCATGTTCCCATAGCCAAACTGTTGTGGGAGAGCTATCTCAAAGTACCTCTAATTTGAACTTATCTTTTGAAGTTTATCTTCATTTCTGTGCACGTAGTGTTGGCATTTTCAATATGCTGAAAAAAAGACAAAAGACTTGTTGACTTTTCTATGAAAAAAAGACTCCCCTATCAAGACATTCCCCTTTTAACAGAAATTAGAAGAGTAGATTTGGGAACTGAAGAAAAAAAACTTCCTACAACAAGTTAATTTTTCTTTAACTTTGGAGCTTTTAAAATTCATCCAACCTTTGATCTAGAATTTAAAACTTTTTAACTTTTTACTTTTTTGACCAATTTTCACCAATTAATCCCTACTACAAGTTAAACTATAACTTCTAAAAAGTAGATAAAGACACTGGACTGTTTGCATAGTGTATTAGCTGTTACAGTCCCAGGTCAAACCTTGAGGAGAAAACTGAAAGACATTCAGAGGCAAGGGATTCCAATCCAATAAAGTCACTCAAATCATCCAAAACCTTATGTTTTATAGGTAGTAACCTGATTCATTTCTTTGATTTAGTATGAAATTACATATCTTCCAGCTTTTACCCAACATCAGATTTCAGCAGCCAAAAGGTTAAGAATTATGCTGCTGGTAGGTTCCTGTTATTTGACTTATAGCAGACAGGCCTTGCTGAACAGCATGGAAGTGCACTTTTGCCGTCATCTGCACAACAAAAGAAGAGCAGTTCTTTAAATTCTAAAGCTTTTTGCACATTGTTACCTGCAATTACATAGTAACTAGGCAGTTTCAAGATGACTTACTCTTTTCTGTTGAAAATCCTTGCATTTGTTTACTGAAGATGCATACACTGGAAGACTGGATTTTCTGCAGTGATTCGAATATGTAGGACTGAAATATGTCACAAAAAAACAAATGTGCTATATGTTTTCTCTTGCACACACAATATTAAGAGTTTGAGAAACCATAAAAAAGAACTATCCTTCAACACAAATATTTAATATCTGAAGAAGTTCAGTCATGGACTTTAGATGACTTTCTCAAAGCTAACATCCTGGCAAGTTTGCCTTCAATGAAAATATGTAATACATCAGGTTGTTTTCCCAGCTGTGCTTATTAACAGCCAGGCTCAAAGAGAGACTCTATCCAGGACATTTCTTTTTAGACTTCACTCAAGAATCTAGAAAACAAGTAAAATATACACACATACATATACAACTGTAATATGTAATGAAATATAAAAGGATAGTAAGTTAGTTTAATAGCTGGCGTTTCACTATTCTTTGGAAAACWAATACTTTTCACATGCAATTTAGAGTCAAGAAGTTACTTTCCTGCTATTGCATACATATTTCCTTTCCTTAATTCTATCTATAAACTTCTATTTATGTAGTATAATTTCTTCCTCCCATAAAACTCTTCCATCCATAATTACACTTTAGCTTAAGGCTGCAAACAAGATCACTGATATGATCTTGTTTATATATATCTTTCCTTGTACCAGAGATACTCCAGTCCYTTAATCATCTTGGTTGCCCTTCTCTGGACCCTCTCGAGAAGCTCCACGTCCCTCCTATACTGGGGAGCCCAGAACTGCCCCCAGTACTCCASGTGCGGCCTCCCCGGAGCTGAGTAGAGGGGCAGAATCACCTCCCTCCACCTGCTGCCAACACTCCTCCTGATGCAGCCAGGATCCCATTGGCCTTCTTGGCCACGAGGGCACTGCTGCCTCATGGTGAACTTGGTGTCAACCAGGACTCCCAGGTCCCTCTCTGTGGAGCTGCTCTCCAGCAGGTCAACACCTAATCTGTACTGGTGCCTGGGGTTATTCCTSCCCAGGTGAAAGATACTTTTTAAAGATGCTGGTGAAAATAAAAGATTCCTCTAACCAAGGTATAAACATCTCAGAGTCTCAGCTTAGCAGATGAAGCAGATTCTTAAGTCTTACTAAGAAACATCACAGAAATAAGTATCAGACAGCCGTAGAAAGATAAACTGCTGAATTGTGTTTCTCCCAATCTAGGACTTGCTATGCACTTACTGTTGCTCTTGTTTTATAACTAACTTGACTTAATAAAGCAATTATGTGATTGTCGGCACAAGGACAGAGCCTTGCAGGTTTCTCTGTCTAGTTTTGCTTACTGAAGTGGAGTGATGAAACTAACTTACAAACTGGAAATCCCATCAACACATCACAGAATTTAAAAAGAGGAGTCAGAAGAAAATAACTATAGTTTTAGGATTTGATCATACCATTAAACTATTATTTCTCTATTTAATTATTGATTGCTTTTGTTTAGCAGAGGTGTGCTTGGCAGGTAATTTTTTTCACCTTTAAGTGTTCGGAATTGGACCAGAGACATTAATCATCACCGAATTAAAAGTTTTCAGGGASAGCTAAAAGTCAGATTTTGGAGACAAAAATGAAATAATTTTATGTCAAGTGCTGTGGTAGAGTTATCACCATATACCAGTCAACTCTTCTTATACCAGAAGTTTGATCCAAATGAGGACCATGTCCCATTTAGAGTGATTCTATATATCCTGCTTGACCCTTGCATCACAAGGGTTGTTTTTTGTCAAGAGACGCTGCTTCAAATCTCCTTACAGGGCTAGGATTTTGCTTTCTCTTCTGTAGATGCAGAGAAGCTCCAAAGTTCTCCTGAACTGCAGCCCCATGCGATCATTAGAAGTAGAATAATTTGTCCTAGCTTATCCTGATTTACCTTATCTTAGCTTATCCTTAAGTCATGGTTGCTTCTGCTTCAGCTGTTGGTTAGAGCACCACATATCGCTGCCACTGAGAGTCCATGCATCAGCATGTCTCTCTTGTAGGCACACAAGAAATCCAAAGAATGAAATGAAAATTTCTGTCCCTCCTGCATTCCCGAATCTGCTTGTCAGCTGTACCAGAAATCTTCCCTGCACCCTTAAATATTAACAGATCTGTTCTCTGGATGCAGGATTCCTCATTTTCATATGAATAAATGATTAATTCTCACCATACTAAGCAGGTACAACTTTTATAACTAGATGAATCAGCACTGTGCCAAACCCTTTAATAAAATAGTAACAGTGTTCAAGTTTATATTGCACTTTATTGCTTCCTGGATCATTTAAAAGGAGTTACTGACAAACAGCCATTTACACAGACGTTTGAAACATTTGAAAGTTTGCATTGGATGTACTGAGTGTTTCTGTACTTCAAAATGCAGACATATCRTCTTTTCCAGCAACTTAAGGCTAGTTCTTTGAATGAAAACTCCAGTGTCTGTCCGCCAAATGCCACTATTTGCAGTGGCACATCTTGCGTGTTACCTGAGGACAATTTTAACAAAATTTTGAATACAGTACTGAGTACTGTTCTAACAATCATGCTGGCTATGGTGATGTTCTCCATGGGCTGTAATGTGGAACTCAAAAATTTTTTGAATCATGTGAAAAGACCCTGGGGCATTTTTGTGGGTTTCCTTTGCCAGTTTGGAATTATGCCTCTCACAGGCTTCGTGCTGTCATTGGCCTTTGATGTGCTTCCTATTCAAGCGGTTGTGGTGCTGATCATGGGATGCTGCCCAGGTGGAACAGCTTCCAACATTATTGCCTACTGGGTGGATGGTGACATGGACCTAAGGTAAGAGAAGTTATTGCCTAAAACCTTCCTCTGCCTTTTCCTGTAAGGCGTATGTTGTAAACTTCATACTCAAAAAGTCTGTATGATATTTATCTTTGCTACATGGCTTGTGCATGTTGAAGCCTCCTTCCTGAAGGGTCATATAATAGTAATAAATATGAGAAAAATAGCAGTTTGGCTCTGTCCATTGAGATTTCATGATACACATAAGGATGTGTATTGAAGAAACTGTTTTCATTATATAACATTAGATCCTGCTGAAGACAGTACAAATGAAAAACCTCTGAACACTAAGGACTGTGGTCTAAGAGCCACATTTGTAATTTTGTTTCTCCCAAGATCTTGGGCAGTGGAAAAAAAATAACAGAATTTTAGGAATTGAATCTTATATACAAAATAGTGGCTATGCAATAATTTTTAAAGTAATGTTTCTTGAAATAGGCCATCTGTGGGAAAAAAATGCATTGCAATTAGTTGCAATCTCTTTGGCATCTAATATAAATGAAAATTACTTCTAATTCTACTTAATTCTATCTGCTCCTGGCACCTTATAAAAGTTTTCAAACTGAAGGAACCTTTAACACGATACAAGCCATAGCCCTCCATGTTCAGTATAATGGAAAAGCTCCTCTGAGGCTAAGTATGATGATCTCAATAGCAAGTAATTTGGCTGCAACTTCAATATGCTGTGAACTCAAAATCTGTGATACATAAGGCAGCTGACATGCTCTTTGACATCAGCCACACAGCAGAAGTTAACTCAGCTCTTGATGCAAATTCAAGGGGAAAAGGGAGGGCTCATTAACTCAAAGAGTCTTTAAAAAATGAGCTATTTTTTTAAATCCTGATCACTCTGCTCTAAAATAAATAGAATCATTTCTGTTTCCCGCAGAGTAACATAAATTGCAGCTTTCATACAATTTATCATATGTCAGTCTGAACTAGAAATGGAAAAACTAATAGAAGTAAGAAAGATGTGGATCTAAGGTCAACAGAGTAAGAATTTAATATTTGTGGCTTTAATGAGGTATTTTTCCACATTTGAAAACAATGAATTTTTCTGTCACATACAGATGTTAATGTGGTATGTGCTTTTGATATCGTGTGCCTTCAACTCTGCTGATTGCCATCTTCCTCATGCTGGAGAACAGACCTATGATGTTAGAACTGTAACACACTTAATTTCAATAAATACAGTTCTGAGAAAGCACTGATGGAAAGATATCCAGGACAAACCAGAAAATCTGTCCCAACCTTACTGTGGAGAAACATGCTGAGCCAAACTATACTTTTGCAGATCTGAATGTTCAGGGTAGAGAAAGGTTTTATACCTTTCTCGATAGCTCAGATCCAGGAGATGTTCTCCAAAGTTTGTTATGTGGCCACCTGTTTTTGACACCACTTAATATTTCACAAGAGCGAGTGCTGAATCAGCTGCCTGTCCTCCACAGCACCCATGGGAATTTCTGCAAGCACTGGAGTTGGGCATAGAAAATGGGCAGCCTTTGGAGCAGGTTGTAGATATTTGAAATGCAGGAAAATATAGGAAATATGTATATATGAAAATTAGATTGTTTTATCTATTTAGAGCTTCACCTGACCTCAGTCACAGCCCATGACTCTTTTATCTTTGCCTGCAGGAATCCTTACTTAATCCTCTTACAAAATCAAATCTAATGGTGCTAAAGTCAAGAGTAATAGGAACTAAAACTGGTGAAAATATATCTGCAGTTTCTGTATGACTTGTTCTAGATTATTCTCCATGTCCCCAGTTTGTAGGACAGGGTTGGTGTCACCTTTTCTGGAGGCAATCCATGCAGAAGAACTGTAAGGAGTGAGACTGTGAYGGATGTTTCCGAAGTTCCCGCAAATCACAAGTCCTCCCTTGTGATTTTTACCACAAAGAAGCATGATTTGTAGACATAATGTTATCTGTGCCATTCACTTACTAAGAGTCTCTTTTTTTAAGCTATGTTGTCTTGCCCTTCTTCTTCATTCCTTCACTAGAGGCATCTCTTTGTAAAAGGTGTACCAAAATTGAGAGAAGAAAGAGTTTATATTTCAAAATGGAAAGATCCTTGCAAAAATCAAGGAAGCAGCACTGCTTCTGCTCAACTTCACTAAGTAGCTCTCAGTAACTATTTCAGGGCATAGAGCAGAACTAGCCAGAAAAGGGAATTTCATTCCATCATACATGCTAGGTGATGAATTTTTCTCTTTTATTCTATTGGCTTTGGAGTGAGATTTTAAAGCCCTTAAATTGCTGGTAAAATGGAAAGCTCCATCTGAAATCCATCTGCACCTGTCTAGCTTGCTGGGCCTCTGAGAGGCCAGACAGACAGCAGCATGCAGACAAATTTGCCAACAGACCTTCCTGACGGCTTCCTGCCCGGCTCTCTCATTTGCACTGACAGTTACTGCTATGTGTCTGCAGAACATGTCAATATTTTATRTTCCTTTTCTTGTCTTTTCTTTTTYTTTCTTCCAGTAGAAGTCATTTCTTCAATTTAAGATTTTTTTTTTCCTAATTTGATATATGGGACCAATTGTCTGCAACCAGCTGTATTTCTTGCCCAACATTTCATAAACTGTTAAGGCATAATAAGAAAATGAGAAAGGCTATGGGCTAGCATGAGATGAACTGTCACCCTGACTGCTCTCTCTGCAGCATCAGCATGACAACTTGCTCCACTCTGCTTGCGATGGGGATGATGCCACTTTGTCTCTTTCTTTATACCAAGATGTGGACAGCCGCGGACTCAATCGTACTGCCYTACGACAGCATTGGTGAGTGAAGTGAATCAGCACCTTCCCTTCTCACATTTCCCTTCATTCTTCTAGCAGCAGCCATCTTTATACCATCACCATTGCAGTCACACAGACATGAAAATGGATTTTTAAAAATAATTATTCTCCTGCTTTCCAGTAACTTCAGTGGTAATTATTCTGTATCTCTTCACATTATCRAGATTTTGAAGAACAAAGTCTTTAAGCTATCACAAATATGGTAGAGATATTTATCACAAAATAGYGTGCACTATTTTATTTAAATTGGCTGGAAACCTTCACAGGTTTGATATAAGAATACAGAATAATYCAAACAGGAATAACTGCTTTTCCTGGATAAAAGCGTTGGTAAGAGCTTCAAGGCACAATCCTGCAAAGTGCCAAGGCCATAATCGAGCAAAGTGCTTAAGCATATGTGGATAATTAAGCAAATGATTAAAACTGCTGAGTCTCATTGAAAAGCTACAATCTGCACCACAAGGAGTGGTTTCATTTGACTTCTTGTCAAAAATCACATCCATCTACAAACAGAAAATAGGCTAAGCATTTAGAAATACATGCTCCAGTGCTTTGCAGAGCTGCAACCCTAGTGCTTATCAAGTTTGGTTCCGTGTTGTGCTAATCTTACAAAGCCAGCAGAGTCACTTTCATGTTCTTCAATTGCATTTCCCATTGTTCTGGAAAATAAATTTAAAAAAAACACATAAATGGTCTGCACTTTCAAAATAAATGCTGGAGGAGGGAGGCCAAAACAAAAGAAGCTCTGAACTGATTGTTGATATGGTACGGTAGCAAAACACCTGCAGACAAAATGAACATTTAATATACCTACTCACATCATAGCATAGTGATGATTAGCAGACTCAAATTTCTGTCTCTCTTTTTGGTTCAGGTGAATGAGCAYGCAGCTAAGCAGAATGGCAATTACTTCAACAGGTTGCCAAAGATAAGAGGCTGTATAGAAAAGCAAATGGGCAGGTGTGAGAGTAGAGCATGCATGTTCTGGGGTGCGCATATTAGACACATCCTCCTAAGGCTTGCGCTTTATAGAGCTTAGCTGCTCTATGCTGTGCCTTTTCTTCCATCATAAACTTCTGTGTTATATGTAGGCTTGTCTTTTTTAWTTTTTTTTCCAGGAATTTCACTGGTAGCTCTTGTAGTTCCTGTCTCATTTGGGATGTATGTTAACCACAGATGGCCTCACAAAGCAAAACTCATACTTAAGGTAGGATGTGTAAAGCTGAACCATTACTAATTTGTGGCAATTTAAGGATTCAGTGGCACCACTAAAGCAGTAGATTTCTATTTGTAATATTTGATTCTGACTTTATATGAGCTATGAAGTTCTCAGTAGAAAATGAGACACTACTTTTGAGTTTCATTTTGCTTTTCCCCTACTTTTCCCCTGCAAAAGTAGTCAGAGTTGCATACATTACTATAAACCATCATTATCCAAAGAGCCTCTTTTTGTCTTTGGTGAGAACTTTATTAATAATTAAGCTCAGTGTATAATTCAAACTGACAACAGGAAGAAAATCATTCTGATCAACTGGAAAGATTTCTCTTCGAAGTGAAAATAAAAAGTAAAGAATAAAAATAAAAATAAAAATAAAAATAAAAATAAAAATAAAAATAAAAATAAAAATAAAAATATGAGACATATTCTGGATCAAATAAAGAAAGTTGCCTCTGTTTAAAACCTCCAGCAAAAACTATTCATAAATTCAACTATATTTGCAAGAACATTTCAAATGTATCAGAATTACATTTGAGGGCAAGAAATCATCCAACCACAATAATAACAACAACAACAACAACAACAACAACAAAAACAACAACAACAACAACCTAGCTATATTTCATGTTAACAGCAATCACTCTGAAAATTTCTCTGCTATATTCAAAGCATTTTTTAGATATACTTGGATCCATTGTCCTCAGTGACCACCCTCAGTCTTATTTCCTTACTTAATTTAAGCTAAATTAACTGCATGGCTAGTTAGTCCACCTATATTTCATTATTCTTCTCTACGGTGCTTTATTTTTAAATGTACTCATAGATCACTTATGAAGTTGCATACTGTCAGATGTTGGTTTCAAAACTGTTCTAGYCCTGTTTAATCAATTACAGGAAGAGCATGGACTTGAACTTACATCTTTTAGCAAAACGGCACCGTTCCATGTTTTTCTTTCTAGATAGGTAAATAGCCCACAGTGGAGCCCTGCTGCTCCACTGCACCAAGCACTTGCTTGGTGCAGGACAGCAAAGTGTCAAGGGAGAATCAAGCCATAGCCAACAGGTTAGGATCTACACAGGGACAAATGGAGATAAAAGCACAGAGTCTGTAGCAAGTGAACTGAAAGAGCTTGCCACAGCCAGACCATGTATCTTTTTCCTAGGTGCATGTTGTTAACAGTTCAGTCAAGCAAAAGTAGCTGTTGATTCTGTGCTCTTTAAAAAAAGTTTCAGCCAAAGATTGATKAAGACAGTTTAATGGCAATAGTCTTCCCATATACACATTTCACCTGAGAMATGGATTCTCCTAAGCCTAGCACCAGAAGCCTGCCAGTGAATTCCCTGGCAGTATATGCCAAGAGGGCAGATGTTTTTCTTGAATATTGAGAAGAGAGTTTTTTATCCCTCTTTCCAACAAGCAGTGACTGGGATCTGTGCACGTTCAACCACAGGACATAAGATCACCTCAGTGATTCTGCCTATGTAGGAATGCTGTATGAATGCACAGGCAGTTTTCAAACACACTGCATTTTCAACCACATTAAAGATTTACTCATCCACTTGGCAAATAATTTCCTAGCACAAGCAATGTGGTGTCTAATAAGTATACACTATACTAAGCCCTAAAGTGTAACTGGCCAAGTGAGGAAAAAATCTATTAAACTAGGTATTAGACTGTCTCAACAACTCTGGGGAAACAGTTCTACTTTATGCATCATTCCCTGTTCACGTCATTTCTCTGAGATAAYTTTTAATGCCAAGCTCTAAGTAGAGCAAAAGTTTCAAGGAATTAATGTTAGTGATACCTGCTATAGATACCTATTTTATTCTACCTTGATCTCTATATATAATTAAACATTGAAATAAATAATGTATCTATATTTTTTAGAAAATGGCAGCTGTCTAAATTTGTGTGCCTGTTGTGAAGTACATTGCACTGTGAAGTACACGGCACATTCCATTCTATATTTAATAAGATATCTCAGTGACTTAGTTAAAGACATTCATGGGCATGTTTGAAATTACATTGTTTCATCAAAGTCTCTCTCCATACAGCCTTTCCTTTTTTTTTTTTTTTTTTCCCCACAGGTTGGTTCCATTGCTGGAGCAATTCTCATTGTGCTCATAGCTGTGGTTGCAGGAATACTGTACAAAGGCTCCTGGATTATCTCTCCTAAATTATGGATCATTGGTACCATATTTCCAGCAGCTGGATATTCTCTGGGGTTCATTCTGGCTCGCATAGCCGGTCTGGCTTGGCACAGGTATAGATCTCTCTTTGACATAGAGCTATAGTCTATTGCAGCTGTGAGGGTTTTATTTAATGATTAATCAATGCTGAGAGTATTACCTAAGCATTAGTTATGCTGCAAGGTCACTCATTCCTCAACTCTTTTTGCTGTGCTGCATTTGTATAAGATATTTCTTGTCCACATCTTTGTTTATGGATTCCAATTCTCTATTTCCTCCTACCTGTCATACATCTTCCCCTGGTGTGCTTGTGTGCTTGCGTCCTAGAGCCCAAAGGAAGGAGACAGGACAGGCCTATTCAACCAGTTGGCTGGTGCTGCAGTAAAATTTCTCATGGAGCAGCAGCATGCTACAATTTAGAGCATCATTACAAAAGAGGGAGATAGTGAGTGTTACTGCACAATATAATATACATGTCTTAAAAGTGGAGAACAGTCCTCTACAAGCGCAAAACAGCCAAAAGTCATGTGTCCTCTAGTGCTAACAATGTATATCTTGAGGAGTGTTCTATGGGCTGTGTGAACTGGAGGATACTGTTTTCTCAGTCATCTATTACTGCATGTTTCTTGTCTATTCAGACTCCTAAAAAGCCTAGGGATCCCTGGCATCCTACTTGATGACTGCCTTTGTATTTTTCATTATAGATGTCGAACGGTGGCTCTGGAAACAGGCATGCAGAACACTCAGCTGTGTACGACCATCGTACAGCTCTCCTTCACTCCTGAACAGCTTGAGCTGATGTTTACTTTCCCTCTCATCTACAGTATTTTCCAGCTGTTGTTTGCACTAATAATTCTAGCAAGTAAGATATATACATTTTTGTTAGAGCAGTATAAATGTTATTATTATTGTTATCAGATATTTTTCAAAACTCATTTGTCATGAAGTTTGGAAAAAATAAAAAACAGACAATTTAGGGATAGAAAAGAGTCAAATGGAAAGGAGTTAATTTGTAATGACTCCAGTTATTAGTGAATATTGCCACTTTGTTGTGCCCTGGACAAGGTAGATGTGAGAATTGATTCAAGATGTGGAAGGGCCCTTTTTTCAACAGAAGGGAGGGGATTACATTATTGTAATTTCTTTATTTAATGCTAAATGTATGCTGTTTCCTAGGCAGAAGGGAGGGGATTACATTATTGTAATTTCTTTATTTAATGCTAAATGTATGCTGTTTCCTAGGCTATCGTATTTATATAAGGTGCAAGGGCAAAACGAAGACAGATGACGTGATCACAGAAGAAGAAACCAAATCAAAATCGTTATCATCGCATGCTACAACAAATGGAGGATTTGTATCAAACGAGACCAAATAGATTCCACTATTCCAACCAGCTAAAAATATGTAATGTGTATGGTTTACTTAAACTTTTTTTTTTTTTTTTTTTACGTTCTGTTGCTTTAAGGAAATATTTAACAAAAGAAGGTGTTCTACTGATATTGTACAGAAAGACTTTTAAATGATTAATTTATGAAAGATTTCTACTTTAATTACAAGCACAGTTTCTGCCATAATTGTAGAATCTATATTTCAAGTTAATTCTCTAAAATATTTAATGTTGTTTTATGGCTTATTTAAAAAAAAAAAAAAAAAAAGCAGACATCTGTTAAGAAAGCAGACATTTGCATTACAGACTCCAGCTGCTGTTCCTGCGTATCCATTCGCTAGTCCTAGCCCCAACACCAACAAAGGGAAATGTTGCAAAAGTGCCTGAAGAGGTACAGGAGTCAATGTGAAGATCTGGCATGGCTGGAGAAATTTCCCTGGGCATGAATCAACTCAAAATTGAAACAAGTGAAGAAATAATGTTTCATTTAAGTCAGTCTGATCCAACTAAAGTTGTTGCACTGTAATAAGTGCTTGAGGTGTTAATTTACTCAAAACTAATTTTAAATAGTGCAAATTAACTTATGAGTTTTTTTTTTTCTCTCAGATTAATAGCAAGCAACAGTTTTGTATCTTCAGTCAGGGTCATTTAGGTGCTGGAAAGATCAACAGACAGTGAAAGCCCAGGGTATGAGCCAAAAGCAGTGTTAGTTTGCCAGCTGCACAAAGAAGAGGCTGAGGTTTTGAAGGTGTGAGAAATGGTCAACTTTTGCACTGAAAGGGAGGCATATGGAAGTGGAACAAAATTGTCCCTGATTCATCCAAGACTACATTCATCACTTTTAAGACAGAATAATAGTGTTTAATATTTCTGTGGTTGTATGAATTTTTATGAAATTTGGACTTGCTGAATGTCCATGACACTTATTTAGTCAATAAATTAAAATTTTGATTATATAAAGCATGGACAGAAATAATTGTATGTGAACATACATTATTTGTCTCTGAAAATTCAAGGGTGCATAGAGAAAGCTTTCTTAAGTGTGGGGAGAAGTGGAGTATAATTCTAAAAAAAAMCCCACACTGCAATGAATTTTTTGCAGTGGTAATGTTTTTGTTGATGCATTCAGCTACATTAGTTCTGTAGTTCTTATGGAAAGAAAATAACCAGAGTACTTCAGATGAAATGAACGAGAGCTTGACTGACCAAAAACTTCAAGAATGGGCAAGCTACCAACACATGGAAACCATAGACTTCTTCATCATATTCAAATGGACATTTTGAGAGTGCTGTGAGGTAATGTAGCATAATTGTTACAAACACAGCTTCAATGGAATTTGGTTTCTAGACATGTAGCTTTCCACTTCTGCAGAAATATGCTTAATATTAATCAAAGGATTAATTAGGAATCTAAGGAGCTTTGAAATAATTCTCAGATCTAAGATGCTTGAAGATGCTTCATTTTCAGGACAGTCAGAGACCTTGTAATGTCCTCCAAAGAGAAGGTCAATACAGTGGGAGCTAGAATATAGCATGTCTTTTTATGTAATAAATAATAAACAGGAAAAGGTAGAAAAATATATTTATAAAGGAACCCTAAATGTAAAACTCTACACTCACTGAGAAAAGGATAAGTTGTTATTTGCAATATATGCAGTAAAGAAGGTTGTTGTGATTATCCTTCTTCCTTAAAAATACAGACTGTAGAAGTCGCTCAGAATCTTATCTTTCTCACACAAGCTGCTACATTTTTTTCCTATCTAAAGCTAAAATAACTCAAATGTGTTTGCACATATTTTATATGGATTTTCAAAATGTATTGAAGAGCAATATTTTATTTTCTGTATAACTTTGTATTTAAAACAACTGTATAAACACTGAACTGAACACAGCTAGCAACTTTGTGTATATTATCACCCACTGGAGTAATTTGAGTTAAAAAGAACTCAGAATGAATCCTTACATGCAGACTAAGTTTATGYTTTTGAGATAAGCATAAACTTCCTTTCAACACTTCTTTATAAGCAATCTTCTATGCAATGAAATTACTGTCTGACAGGAAATCACATATGTGTAATTTATAAACCCCCACACTAACAGATATTCAATCCAATTCACCCTTATATTTACTGGTAAAGACACATTTACCAATCCAGGTTAACAAGCTTCATAGCTGCTTTAGCAAATTCTGTTTTAACACAGCTTGTCTACTCTTAAATTAAAAGTGGTTCAAGTCCAGAGATTCTGGGTTCCCTGAAACTTGCACTGCTGCACATCTGGTTTCAGTCCATTGCAGGCAAAATGAATTGGCTTCTAAAGATAGATATGCCCTAAAAGTTGTAATGGCAGCTATTTAATGCCCAACTCACTCAAGGATCTGTGGTATGTAAGCACTGTAAAGACGTAAAATCACACTTGCTCCACCCAAGTTTCTAGCCATATATATGGTTATATAGACGGATTTCCTAATTGGTGAAGAGAGAGCAGCACTGTCCTGGACCTATTCACATCCTCTCTCTCAGACACCTAGTGCGGGATGAGCTGCCTACTGGAATGTCAATCTCTATAAATTAGATATAGGTGGCCTGGCTTACAGCAAATACCTATGTTTTGACCTTCAGATGGAAAAAAAAATGAGATGAATTGCCATTTTTGTCTTCATTTCTTTTTCTGCATAAAGTCTAATGTGCTCTGAACCCTCAGTTTGTTTTTTCTAACTTCAGTGATGTCTTTACAATTGAAAAAAAAACAGATTCTAACTTCAGTGATGTATTTACAAATAAAAAAATAAACAGATTTGGACTCAAAAGTATCTTTGTACTGTTTTATACTTTGTACTAGTTTTAATCTTCTGTGGAAAATATAAATTATTTTTCAGCTGACCAAAAGACAGATAGAAAAACTGGTTCTGTCATGCAGCTGGAACAGAAGTAATAAGTAAATTGATTTGTGATCTATGTTACATGAGTTTCTAGACTCAATCTTGATCCTTGCCCCAAAATACACAACCCGGATGGTCAAGAGAAGGCATGTATCTGGGAAGTATGAGTCACCACATACCTCAGATACTTGGTTTGGGGTGAAAATCTGGGATGGAAACCTAGAAGGAGGCAGAGAGATTATGCAAAGCTGGGTGTGAGGCTGACTGAACATAGGCATTTAGGGTGATGTGAGATGCCTGAGTGTCCAGCCTGGCTCTCCTTAGAATTATATAACATGGGAATTTAAAAAGGCTGGGAATAATATTTGGGGAGGACAGACAAAAAGGCAAACAAAAAATAAACAACTAACAAATAAATGCATATTAATGATACTGCATTTGTGCATAAGGAACTTAAACTAAAACAAATCAATGCAAACTGCATTGCCAATAATACTTGAAAGATCCTAAATTATCCTCCTCCCTCAAATAATGAAATGATTGATTTAAGAGAACATGAAACGCTACAAACAATAAATTGAAGTTAAGATCTTTGTCTTTTGGAGTACAGTTACTTGAGTATTTAGCCATAATGACAAGTCTTTTATCTTTTTAAAAGATTCTTAAAAATCAATCAGTACAGAAATCTATTGTAATCACAGCAAATACCTCAAAATTACACACAAAATGAAAATAATTTTTGACACTGAAGTAAATTCTTATTGACTGCAACAAGGAGTTGACCCAGTACTTYGGACAGTGTACATCTTGGTTATTATGTATCCTAGGTATTGTTATATAATGTAATAAATAAATTCTGTTTCAAGTGATCAGAAAGTGATTGTGAGTTACTTCTTTTTTCTTAGGGTACTCTAAGCTAGTACACACTATTTTATTCATTGCAGTTGTCCTGACTGTGAGAATATTATTCATTATATATCCTGTGCTTCCATTCCACACCAATTTAGCATTGTCTCATATTTTACAGATGCAATTTAATTGCAAGAGATATGCTGAATAGATATGCTGATCAGATATCATTAAGATGTAGATAACCTGATATGTTCTTTAAATATGGTCCCAGACCTTCTGTCTCCTTCTATAACTCATTTGGGGATTTCATCCCAGTTTTTGAAAGCCATTTCCTCCATTTTAATTCGAAAAAGATCTATGGGGTCATATCAAGATGTTAAGGCCCTATTTAAACAATTAGATGGTACAATTAATTCCCCATAATTAGAATTATTTACAAGGGATTAATGAAAATGTCAGGATTACAGGTCRTTTCATGACCTGTTTCTAACTATCTACAGTAGTAAATCAGCTGTAGATAAAATACAATTTCTTTCTGCATAGAGTTCTTTTTTAAAAAATATTCTCCAAACTCACAAAATATCATCCCACAGGTGATACAGACTTATACCATATAAAAATACACCTATGAGGAAACAGTAAAAACACTTATTACCCAGTTGATCACATATTTTAGATTTCAAATACGTAATGATAGATTTAAAATGGTCAAGAATTATGAGCATGTAAAGCAATAAAAAATTGAATACAATTTATTACAGATCCAAAAGCATTCAAAAAAAGGTTGAAATGATGAATTCATGTATCGTAGTTTCATTACTGGTAATTTATAATACTGGAGATGCAGTTCTTGGTTCAGGAAGTTTCTTAATCACTGACTGGTGAAAAGCAAAGGAGTATATGCACAGGTCTCCTACACTCTTACCTTGAGCAATTCTTACTGTCATCACCAAGTCATTTGAAGCTTTTCAATCTATGTGTTTGTAGAATCATTTCTAATAATCAGTAATTCTAAGGTAAAACAAGCTGCTTACAGGTATCAGAGAATCACAGAATCACAGAATCACAGAATCACAGAGTGGTTGAGGTTGGAAGGAACCTCTAGAGATCATCCAGTCCAATCCACCTGCTCAATCAGGGACACCTACTGCATGCAGCACAGGGTCACATCCAGGCTCTGCCTGTTGAAAGAGAATCAAAAATAACTGACTCCATGAATAGCAGCAAATAGAAAGACAAAAGAGCAAATGATGAA